TCAGCTTTAATGAATATTTACAGTCTTGAAATAGTTCTGTCCTTTTCATGATAAGTATCTATAGTTTTTCATTTGAGAGCTAAACCATAAATACAGGACACTCAGAATTGTGTCCACAGCATAATGAGTAGTGGATGTCTTCACAAAATGTCAAATACTATGAGAGTTTTCACCAAAGCAATGTCCATTCTGAGTATCCTCTGGTCACATCACATTTGCCTCTCTCCTTGGGAAGGGGAGCTGCAATGGACAGGAAATGTCCACTTTTTTACTTGTTGATCTGTGAATCTTAATGATTAAGTACGTTGTACATATTTCTGACACATTTTTTTCATGCAGATAACTTTGATTGGGGTATCAAATTTCAGGTGTACAGAAGGTTTGTATGGCTTTATTTCTTGTAGCAAATTTTCAGAGTTAATATTTTCTTGGATGAAACCAACTATAATAATTTTCTTTATTCATATTTAGTTTATGGCACCTTGGGTTGAAATCTTTTCATGCTGGTGAAGTTCATGGTTGTTGTTTCACCTTCATGCTGACTAATATCGTAACTCTTGTTAGAGATCATAATGGGAAAAATATTAATCCACACTCTTTAGCAAATATGGGAGGAATAATGACATTCTCATTCCAGACTGCCCACACTTCCTTCCTTCCCTCATTCATTCGTTCAGTCTTTCTCCAGTGTATATTTATGGAACATCAAATCTCTACTGGCCCTAACAGTAGCCACTCTGCATACATCACAGGTTATAACTGAAATAGTCCTCATGGAGCTTAAGAACAAGTGTAGAAACCACAAAACAAGTAAGTTAGTAACTAAAACCATGGTAAATATTGTAAAGTAAAAACAGCAACCAAATACGAATAGCTTTGCAAGATCCATTAGGCTCCTGCTGTTGTCCTCCCTTATAAAATAGAAATCTGTGGGTTTCTTTCTTTCTTTCTTCTTCTTCTTTTTTTTTTTTTCTTTTTGAGACTGAGTCTTTCTCTGTTGCCAGGCTAGAGTACAGTGGTGCAATCTTGGCTCACTCCCGGGTTCAAGTGATTCTCCTGCCTTAGCCTTCCAAGTAGCTGGGACTACAGACACATGCCACCAGAAATCTGTGGGGTTTTGGGGGTGTCTCTTTTATAGGGCAGTCTCCATCTTTCTGCCACTGAAAGAAAATGACATTGTCATTTGTCACCTCAAGCACAGGAGCTGCATGTCCAGAGTGTGGCACCATCACAGGCTCTTGTGCTGCAGGTGCTTCTGGGTGGCCGGTGCCAGAGCTCAGAGAGGCACAGACGAGGGTGGAGGCAGGAGCATGGGGCCACCAAGTGCATGCCCCGAGGCTGATTCTAGATGCAGTGGGGAGAGCAGAGTGAGTGTGCTAGGGAGATGCAGGTGAGAGAGGTCTAGAGGAAGCTGCAGGAGTGCGGGATGGCAGGGGCAGGTGGATGAGAACTAGATGAGCTGTGGGTGACAGGGAAGGAGAGATGCCATCATTGGCACTGGGATTATGGTGCTGCTGTCCCTTAGACAAGGTCACAGGAGGTGGGACATGCTGGTTGGCCACATGGAGAGTCAGGTAGTCCTGTCAAGTTTCTGATGTCTCCAGTCCCTAGAGGTTTGGTTGCAGATACAGAGCCAACATTCAGCAGTAAGATCCCAGCTTTGAAGACAGACCCAGGTGTGAACATGAGGACAGGGGAGGAGAAAACTGTGACAAAAGATGAGAGCATGCAGGAGTTCAGAGCAAGGGCAGGACACAGGCAGGGGAGGAAGAGCTTCAAGGAGACAGGAAGGGTCCCTGTGTGCTGACCCCGATGCAGAGGGAAGGGGGAACTGTGGAGGGGACTCATCACATGACCAGATGCTCCAGGGAGTGAAGGAGACAGCGAGGTCATGCATTCTGGACTAGCATGCAATCCCACTCAGCACTTTGCTCTAAAATGCTAAGCCCTATAGTTTTGTTAGTTCCCACCAGCTGGAAAATCAGACACAAGGTGTACAGAAATATGCAGTGAAACTTTATGATCAATGATGGCTCATTCTTTTAAGTCAAATTATCACAGATATTTAAAAAGTTGATTCTTTCCATAATTGCTTAAGAATTGGAAACACCTAGGAGCATATTGGCATTTGGACTCTTGTTAATTTGGGCAGGTTTCTCAGATTTATAATCGTCAATAAAATAAACAATACATAGCATGGAGTCTTTGTAAAACTCTTGGATAGACTACAGTTCTGTAAACTATGTTTCCCATACCACGCTAGGCTGGTGAACAAATAGGGTGACAGTGGTCATAGCACAGTGATTCTCCAGCTGGCTCTCCCACTCTAGGCAGCCTGCCTCACCCCTGAACTTCTGTGGAAGCTCCCATTTCACCCAGGGGTCTCTCACATAAGCTTTCCCAGAAGCCCTGCTGCCCCTGCCTCCCTCTTAACCTATGGCTCAGATGATGTCACTTAATGCAATGATGTCCCAAAGGCAGGCACAGGCACCATGCCCTTCACAGCTCCATAGGAAGGCGGGCACCTCCCTCTGCTGGTGCCTCATAGGGACCTCCTTGCAGGGTCTTGTGGCGACACATTTGTGCTGAAGTCACCTTCCCTGAAGCCCCATCTTGTTCCTGTTAGTTCCTTGGTGCTATGTCCGTTTATTGGTGCTTTGCTCTACCCCAGGCAGAGAGAACTAAGAATCGCTGAGGTTGAATTTTTTAACAAGCTTGTGAACTGTGATTTCCAAGTCAAAATTAATTTGAAGTATAGAATTAAGGCATACATTTTTTCTTGCATGCTTATATCTGTGAACTGTGAATTTGGAAAAATTCTTGCCTGTCCATGCCACAGCTGTCTCTCTCTTTGCTCTCTCTCCTTCTCTCTCTTTTTTGCCCTTAACCTTTTATATAAACACAAATACATACTCTTTCCTCCAAGATCATTTTAAAATCTTCCCAGCATATAGTACACTTCAGTGTATGCTTTATCTTTTCCAAAAGTAACATATTTAATCAGTTAGCTTAAAAGAAAAGCCAGCAATTGTTTGCCAATACTGTATACGTGATTATTCAGCCAGTCCCTAATCAGAAAATGTTCACTGGAGATGTTTCAGATATAAAGTAAATTCAAACCAAAACATATCTGCGTATGCATTTTTTAAAAACACAAATAGCCTCCATAAGACTTTGATAGAGAAAAATGTAAAGTATTTTCTATCCAAGGTCTTTTGCAATTAATTGCTTGATAGGAGGCCTTGAAGTCAAAGATTCTTGACTACTTTTGGTTTCAGAATAACATCTTAAACTCATTTTCTGTGTTTGTAAAATAAGAACTATGATGTTTTGAAACTTAGGATTGTGGAGGGTTTTATTCAGTCAGGACCTTCAGAATGATTCCAGGTACTTGAATGGATCTCTGAGGGGCTTCCAGAAGGCTGGATTCCATGCCTGGGATTTGCAGGCTGGCAGCAAGGGCTTGGGGGTGTAGCACAGTCGCAATGTGGGTTCCCACTGGCATGCTGAGAAGACCCTGCTCCGCACCCCTCATAGCTGAGAAGGCTGCCTGGTGCAGGGGTCGCTCTCCCTTCAGCAGTGCTAGTGGTCAAACATATAAATAAGTGCACAGAAACACCCAGGGAGCAGAAAGCCTGGAGTGCAGAGGGCTTGAACAGATCAGAAACTGATGTTCAGAAGCATAGGAAAGAAGGTTTAGAGGACTTGAGTCCAAGAAAACCATCCCACAGAGCAAGCACTAGAAGGAAAGAAGATACTGTAGACCAGGCGTCCCCAAACTATGGCCCATGGGCCGCATATGGCCCCCCGATGCCATTTATCCTGCCCCCCGCTGCATTTCAGGAAGGGTCACCTCTTTCATTGGTGGTCAGTGAGAGGAGCACAGTCTGTGGCGGCCCTCCAACGGTCTGAGAGACAGTGAACTGGCCCCCTGTGTAAAAAGTTTGGGGACGCCTGCTGTAGGCAGAAGAGGGAGGGAGAGGGAGGAGGGTATACTTCTCTGAACAGGAGGAGGGGGGGCATCATTGCTGTCCTGGACATTTGAAGCTGACCGTTGTGGAAGTAGGAAAGTTCTTCTTTAAAGTTTCTTTCTTGTTAGATAATAAATTGTAAGTGTGCTAATAACTCTTTGTTAAGCCCTATCCGATGTAGCTGTTAGACATGCCTTGGCACATGGTATATTCTATGTCCCTGTACTTTAACCAAGCTATCTGTGCTGGACGTGCTAAGGGTGTGTCCCAGCTCACAGTCTATGCCCCTTTCTTATTCGGACTTCTTTTGTTTGCTCTCCCCTGCTTTTACCTGTTTAGAAAAGTTTCAAGTTATTAACCAATCGGGTTTTAGTTTAGATTGTGAGGTCTGGCTCCAGCCAACGGAGATCAGACACAGCAGTGAGGACAACTAACCATAAATTCATAAGGAATAAATATGTCTGTTCATTTGTTCATTGTACTCTCTGGCAAGATAGCTAGTACGAGTGCTCTTTCTGCAGTCCAGGAATCAAAAGTTGCATTGCTGAAAGATCCTTTGTCTCAGTGCTGATTTTTCTTTGCAGCACCGAGCATCGATTACCAATACCCATTGTGTTGTATTTTCCTCGCCCTACTGGGCAGCAAAGTCAGCACCTCTGACACTAAGAATCTGAAATTGTCTTTTCAAGCTCTCTTTCTCCTGATGTTCTCCACGGGATGGCAGGAAGCTTGCCACGTTGAGCTCTCCATCCCTAAACTTGGAACTGGAAGGGTCCAATCGTAGATGATTAGTCCTCATCATTTGCTACATGAGTGCCTCATTTTAAAAGATACTGCCGCCCAGCCCCCACATCCAGTGCAGCTGGCCTAACTGGTCTGCAGTGGGGCCCAGGTGTACTGTTTTTGAAGGATGCTCAGATGGCTTTCCTGGCTGGAGATCCATGGCTGCCTACACGGCACTCTGTTCAACCAAGGATTGGTTTGTGAGACCCTCTGACCTTGTTTCCTCTCATCCTGTGGCCTTCGTAGATCACGGCACTATTAAGAAAGTGCGGGCACCGGTGAATCAGACCTCGAGCAGCTGTTTGCTGGAAGAGATTGAGCTCTTCCCCGAGAGGCGGAGGGAATCCATCAGGAGCCTGCAGATCCTGCACAGCCAGAGCGTCCTGTTCGTGGGCCTGCGGGAGCACGTGGTCAAGATCCCCCTGAAGAGGTGCCAGTTCTATCGCACACGCAGGTAGGGCATCTTTGGGGTCAGGATGCACCGGTGTGTGTGTGAAGGGCCCACCTGGAGAGAGCCCAGGAGGCTTCAGACACCCTGAAGTTGAATGGGCTCAGAGCTATCCTTCATGCCTGGGAGAGTCCTGTGCCGTTAAGAGGCAGAGCTTTTGTGAAAATAGATTCACAGTGATGAGAGCAACCCAACAGTTCTCCTCAGAGGAGGAGCCACATTATAATAACTGCAAGCAGTTGTCAGGGTTAAAATAAATTGTTCAGTGCCTTAGAACATTCAGTGAAAATACTGATATTTGGTGACTGTATTAATCTGTTAATCTGGCAAATTGGTTAATCTGGCACAAGCGTATGTGTGCATCTATATCTATCTATACATATATATTTGAGGGGGTGGAGTATCACTCTGTTGCCCAGGCTAAAGTGTAGTGGTGTGATCTTGGCTCATTGCAACCCCTGGCTTCCAGGTTCAAGTGATTCTCATAGCCTCCCAAGTAGCTGGGACTATAGGCATATGCCATGACACCTGGCTAATTTTTGTCTTTTTAGTAGAGACAGGGTTTCACCATGTTGGCCAGGCTGGTCTTGAACTCCTGACCTCAAAAATGATCTGCCCACCTTGGCCTCCCAAAATGCTAGGATTACAGGCTTGAGCCACCGCAGCCAGCTTCAAGCTTGTATTTTATTTGAATATAGACATGATAAAAAATATCATACAGTATACATCCTTCTTGACAAAAGCTCTTATGCTGATAATCCCTTGAGAAGAAGGAACAACTGATGTTGCTGCAGTGGCACCCACTTTCTGGGACACCCCCACACCGCTGTCCTTGGCACCAGCTCCCCTAGAGTGCTGCTTCTCTCCTGAGGCTGCAAAGAGGGTAGGGAAGGAGGTCTCCTAGGCACAGGAAACCCAGGTGTCATCGCATCTTCCCTCACCCTCAGGCCAGTCTTAGCTCCCATGGGACATCCACGACTGACCGCAGGTGGGTTTAAAGATTAATTGGGAAACATGTTGGCCCAGGTGCTTAGGAAATGGGTAAGTACTATATACATCGTACAGGTGACCAGCACTTCAGTGTGCGGAATCGTGTATACACTCTGACCCTGACAAAAGATTGTCCTTGGGGAAATCTTAATTTTAAGTGCTCTTAGGCATCTTATTGAATTCCCCTCCCTACAGCAGGGTGTAATTGGAGATTTGGGTTAGAAATAGTCCTTTTTTATATGTCACTCACAAACATCTACCACACATGGGACACTCTCTCTCAAAGCAAGGTGTCTAATGACACTGGTTTTGGGACTTAGAATTCAGAGTTCATGGTACAGATCTGTTGTGGTTCACTGCAGCCTTCCCCTCCAGGGTTCCAGTGATTCTCCTGCTTCAGCCTCCCAGGTAGCTGGAATTACAGGCATCACCATGCCCAATGTTTGTATTTTTAATAGAGACAGAATTTCACCATGTCAGCTAGGCTTGTCTCAAACTCCTAGCCTCCAGTGATCTGCCGCCTCTGCCTCCCAAAGTGCTGGGATCTCAGGCACAAGCCACCGTGCCTGGACGTGTTGTTGCTATTTCTTGATTCAGGTCACAAAAGTATTTCAGAATTCACTTTCTCACCCAACATGTGTGAACTGCTGTAGAATCAAATAGGATAATGTATAGAGTACAAAATTTAAAGCAGTCTGCAAAGTGAGTATTCTTAGGTAGAAGGAAAGTTTTTATGTGTAATCACAATATGCCTTTTAAGATGATTCTAGAAAGTGAAGTCTATAATATAATGTCTCCTTTGAAATAAGAGAGCATTGAGGAATAATGCGAGAAACCTCCCAGCTAATCATAATGCTATTGTGAGCCTTAATAACAGCTAGGGATATTTATTAACTGCCATTCTTATATATGCCAGCTTCCTAAATTTAACCACTGGATGCTTGAAATTTTTTCTGGTTTGTGTTTCCTGCAGAACTAGCTTAGGGAAGGAATTATTCTTACCTGGTTGCTGTTGGTTCCGTGGGTGACAGGGTTGGAGTCTGACCAATGGAATGTCATAGCTGGAATACATTTTTTTTTTTTTTTTTTTTTTTTTTTTTTGAGACGGAGTCTCACACTGTCACCTTGGCTGGAGTACAGTGACATTATCTTGGCTCACTCTAACCTCCACCTCCCAGGTTGAAGTGATTCTCCTGCCTCAGCCTCCTGAGTAGCTGGGATTACAGGCGCCTGCTACTACATCCAGCTAATTTTTTTTGCATTGTTAGTAGAGATGGAGTTTCACCGTGTTGACCAGGCCGGTCTTGAACTCCTGACCTCGTGCTTTGCCCACTTTGGCTTCCCAAGGTGCTGGGATTACAGGTGTGAGCCACTGTGCCCAGCCGCGATTTTTTTTTTAACTAAAGCAATTTTAATCTCCTAGAAACATGCTTAAAGAAGTACACTAAATAAGAATAGGAAAACAATTGGTAAGAATTGGATACTAATTTCTCTACCAGTATACTTTCCATCATAGAATCTCAGTAATGACATTTATTATTGGAAAACAGGTCTTAGAAATGAATCTTAGAGTATTTAAAAAGGGAAACTAAGCTTGTTGAAATTACCTGTCTCCTTCAAAATCACGTTTACATGTTTAATTTTCTTGAGTCTGTTTTTCAAAGAATGCACAGTGACATTTATTAAAATGTATATAAATGATAACTGTTACAATTTTACCAATTTCTTTTGTGTCTCTGACACTGGACTAGATTTTGTGAGAATTTGGCAGAATTATAATGTCAGCCCTGAAAGTAAAGTAGCATACTATATCCATTGTTCAGATGAGGAAACGGCAGCTCAGATTTTTGGTGTCCTCCTCAAGGTCACATAACTACTGTAACATGAGATCTGAGTCAGAGCCAATACTGCCCGATGGCCCTTGTTGTATTAGTGGTTCTTTCTCCTGCCCCTGGTACAATGAGGACCACCCATTCAGTGGTCAGATTTCAGCTGGAGGAGATGCTGGATTGCACTTTTCATGTGTGCAACTGAGAGGTGGAGCTGGTCAGTATCTGGACAGGCAGAAGCCGGGTCTCATGGGAGATACTCACCCCTCCGTCCTGTGAGCCTCTTCCTCATTCTGCTTTCTGTCAGATCAGATCAAGTATACATGGAGCAGGTTTTGTACTCTGTTTTTCCAAGGCTTTCTAAGATGAGTCTCCATTCTCCAGTTGTTCTCAAGGAGATCCTGGGACCCAGGGGTGGGGGTAGGGAGTAGTGACAGAGCACCTGCCTGTACTGACCACGCATGTGCTGTGACTGATCAGAACACAGCATTGTTCTTTTGGAAAGTTATTTTCAAAGATAAATATTACAAAATTATATTTCAGTCAACTTTGACCTCAAAGATGAGCAAAAATTCTTGTTTTGATGTTAGCATTTTTTTTGGCATGGCCATTTAATAGAGTTAGAAACTCATGCAAAAGATAAAGCTAACTCATTGGAATTGGTGGTGGTCTCTGGGGATTTAGAGTGCCTGAGAAACTGTACTATTCATGCATATCCTTTTTTATTTTAGGTTTTATTGATCACATCTGTATATAAGTTGCATAAAGTAAGTTCACGTTCACTGATTTCTGAGGAATTCGGGGATCTAGGGAGGCTCAGATATGAGTACGGCGTGTAACAGGGGAAGACAGGAAAGCTGACCCCATCCTGAGGGCCATGGTGCACAGCTGGCTCACGGTCCAGTAGCATCATGTGGTCTTTAAAGTGGGAAAAGGCTGAAAGTGGTGACTCACACCTGGAACCCCAGCACTTGTTGAGGCTGAGGCAGGAGGATTGCTTGAGGCCAGGAATTCAAGACTAGCTTGGGCACCATGGTGAGACCCATCTCTACAATAAATCAGTTAATTAATTAAGTGGAAAATGTCTCCATAAAAAGGCACAGTATGGAGCATCCAAGAGCACCACTCACTGACTTCCCACCTGGTGTAATCACCAAAAGGGGAATCAGAACCAGAACCTGCTGCCCTGTAGGGTTCCTACCTCCATACTTCAGGGGGAAAAGAGCAGCCACAGGACTTGCACTCTAATCATCTTGTCTAGAAATCAGGTTGTTATTTTCTCCCACAAAAAAAAAAATATATATAGCCTTCCAAGTAGTATGACTGATTGTACCTCTTCAAGGCTAGGAATAGCAAGCTTAGAGATGTGGTGATGGGAGGGCGGCTGATGTGAACTTTTAAAATTTAGTTTCTTTTTCTTTTTGAGACACTCTGTTACCCAGGCTGGAGTGTAGTGGTGTGATCTCAGTTCACTGCAACCTCTGCCTTCAGGGTTCAAGCAATTCTTCTGCCTTAGCCTCCCTTGTAGCTGGGACTACAGGTGTGCCCCACCGGATCTGGTTAATTTTTGTATTTTTAGTAGAGATGGGTTTCACCATGTTGGCCAGGCTGGTCACTTGAGGTCTTGAACTCCTGACCCCTAGAGATCCGCCCACCTCAGCCTCCCAAAGTGCTGAGATTACAGGCATAGGCCACCATGCCCAGCCTGAGGTGGACTTTTAAAGACATTTTAAGGACTGTGCATTGCATTGAGTAGATCAGCAGGTTGGCAAGCTTTCTTTGCCAGAGCCAGAGGGAAACTATTCTAGGCTGCACAGGTGTCCAGTCTCTGTTGCAGCCACTCAGCTCTTCCCTTGCAGTGTGAAAGCAGCCACAGACCATAGTGAATGGGTAGATGTGTGGGTCAAGCAAGGCTGATGTATTTGTCTGGTGAGAAAAGTGTGATCTACTTTTAGATCTAGACAGTTCATTACTGAGCCAAAGAAAGAGCAGAAAAGGAGTCAATTAGCCACATCCCTTGTCCCACAGGATGACATCAAAACAAAAAGGGCAGCCAGGCGCGGTGGCTCATATCTGCAATCCCAGCACTTTGGGAGACAGAGTGGGCAGATCACTTGAGGTCAGGAGTTGGAGCCCATCTTGGCTAACATATGAAACCCTTTCTCTATTAAAAATACAAAAATTAGC